CTAACAAAAGCTGATGTAATGCTTTTGACAGAAAAAGTTTTGAAAATCTAATTATAATAAGTCTTGAGTTATAGTTATTTCTTCTTCTGAGCCTTTTCTGCGGCTTTAGTCACTTTCCCGCCGCTCACGTCCTTAGCCTTCACGGACTTGATGACACCGACGGCCACCGTTTGCCTCATGTCTCGCACAGCGAACCGACCCAATGGTGGGAAGTCAGTGAACGACTCGACGCACATGGGCTTCGAGGGCACCAATTCAATGATAGCCGCGTCGCCAGACTTAATGGACTTCGGGTTATCTGCGGACCAAATGAAGGGTGAGTACAGTTGTGGGCAAAGACACCATCAGTTCATACAAACCCTCAATCTTTTTGCCACTTCGTCGGTCGCACTTCTCCTTAATTTCGCGGAACTTGCAGGCGATGTGAGCGGTGTGGCAGTCGAGCACAGGTGTGTATCCGTTGCTGATCTGTCCCGGGTGGTTCAACACTATCACCTGAGCCGTGAAGTCCTCGGTGGCCTTCGGCGGGTTGTCCTTCGAGTCTCCGGCGACGTATCCTCTCCTCAACTCCTTCACCGACACGTTCTTCACATTGAAGCCCACGTTATCTCCGGGCACCGCCTCTGTGAGCGCCTCGTGATGCATCTCAACCGACTTGACCTCAGTGGTCAACATGACGGGGGCAAAGGTCACGACCATTCCGGGCTTAATCACCCCGGTCTCCACACGACCCACGGGTACGGTTCCGATACCTGAGGGACGGACAGAGAGAGCGTTAGGTTGAGCTGAGGAGCAGTGGTTTGGCAAACATTACCTCCGATTTTGTAGACGTCCTGAAGGGGGAGTCGCAGGGCTTTGTCCACAGGTCTGGACGGAGGCTCCATAGCGTCCAAAGCAGCCAACAATGTCTTGCCGTCCAGTTTGGTGCCCTTCCTCTCGATGTTCCACCCCTTAAACCACGGCATGTTAGCAGACGCCTCCAACATGTTGTCCCCATTCCATCCCGAGATGGGCACAAAGGGAACGGTCGTCGGATTGTAGCCAATCTTCTTGACATACGCCGACACCTCCTTCTGGATCTCCTCGAAGCGGCTCTGACTGAACGGCGGTTCCGTTGTGTCCATCTTATTGACGCCGACTATCAGTTGCTTCACACCGAGAGTGAAGGCCAAGAGGGCGTGTTCTCGGGTCTGTCCGTTCTTAGAGATGCCGGCCTCGAACTCTCCCGTCCCGGCGGCCACTATGAGCACAGCCACGTCCGCCTGTGAGGTACCGGTGATCATGTTTTTGATGAAATCTCGATGACCCGGGGCGTCGATCACTGTCACGTAATACCGGGGAGTCTCGAACTTCCAGAGAGTGATATCAATAGTGATTCCGCGCTCTCTCTCGGCCTTCAGTTTGTCCAAAACCCACGCGTACTTAAAGGATCCCTTTCCCATCTATGGAGGGGTGGGGGTAGAGGTATGGATAGGGGTTAGACACGTGTCTCGCATCACAGCAATGGTAAGCCTACCTCCTGGGCCTCCTTCTCGAACTTCTCAATGGTTCTCTTGTCAATACCCCCGCACTTGTAGATCAGATGTCCGGTCGTCGTCGACTTCCCGCTGTCCACGTGTCCGATGACAACGCAATTGATATGAGTCTTCTCTTTACCCATTCTGGTGATCGTTTGGCAGACAATTCACGGCTTATTTGTCTTAAGCAACTGATCGCAAAAAATAATGACAAAAAAAGTTAAATTAAAATCCAGATAAAAATCCTAATTATTGATAGAGAGATAACACGTCAGTCAAGAAATGGCTAACAAATGAATGCCTTTCAGACAAAACACGAAATCGTTTCTCTCTCATCTCAACTGACATTACAGTCAACGCATAGACACTAAAACTCTAATACCTTTTGACACACAATTAAGTGACAAGACTTGCGATTAAAGCAAAAATATAACAATTAAAGGGTAAGTGTGTGGTGTGAGTGCAGTGCCGGTGCAATGCTTTCCCAATGCCTGCGTTCATACAAAACGGAAATGGATGGCGAAAAATGGCGGACAGGGAGGCAATGGTATGGCTATACACAGGCATTGCGATTGCATTGCGAGAGCACTGGTAGCCTACGATAGTGTCAATGCGTTAACACTGCGTTCAACGCCAGCAATGCGTTCGTGGCTTTTAATCGCATTTCACACAAAACACACATATTTTAGACATTTGTCACACAATTGCTGTAAAATCATATGTAAATCGCTGCGAAAACTAACG